CAGCTCCTGCTCGGCCAGTTTCCGAGACCTCTCTGTCTGCTCCACCACAGCCCGCAGCTCCTCCAGCTCGGCCTGGAGCAGGGTGTTGCGCCGCTCCACGATGGCGATGTTCTCCTTCAGGTCATCGTTGACCCGGACCGAGTCATCTAGCTGGATCTGGGTGTCCTATTGGGGAAAAGGGTAATGTGAGGAAGCCTCCCATTCAGGGTCTGATGTGCCCTGTCCCAGATTCACAATCTCTTTCCAAGTGGAGGGCAAAGGGGCACCTTTCCTCATCTAGTCTCTGGCCAGTGATGGCGAACCTTTTGAGCTCGGCCTGTCAGCATTTTGAAAAACCCTAACTTAAGTCTGGTGCTGTGTCACATATGGAAATTTTTTGATATTGGCAACCATAGTAAAACAAAGACTTATATGTTTGATATTTATTTTATATATTTAAATGCCATTTAACAAAGAAAAATCAACCAAAAAAAATGAGTTCGCCTGACACCACTGACACGCGTGTCATAGGTTCGCCATCACTGCTCTAGGCCTAGAGGCTGGGCTGGTCCAGGACGTGCTTAGGGCCTAGTCAGTCCTCCTCCCTCAAGCCTCCAAGTCCAGGAGGTAGGGGACCTCCACCTTCTCATATTTGTTAGCCCAGGACCCTTTTCTCTATCCTTCACCATCCCTCTGGGCTCACTCCCCTTGTAAAAGCCCAACTTCTGTTACCTTTAGATGAGCTTGGGCAATCTTCAGGTGCTTCTGGGCCTCTGAGGCTATCCTGTTAGCCTGGCTGAGCTGGATTTCCATCTCATTGAGGTCGCCCTCCATCTTCTTCTTCACACGCAAGGCCTCATTGCGGCTGCGTGTCTCTGCATCCAGGGAGGTCTGCAGCGAGTCCACCATCCGCTGGTGGTTGCGCTTGGCCTGCTCCATCTCCTCATCCTTCTCAGCCAGCTTCCGCTCGATCTCTGCCTTGATCTGGTTGAACTCCAGCTGTGCCCGGAGGATCTTACCCTCCTCGTGCTCCAGGGAGGCCTAGTAGGGGGGCCGGGAGAGAGGGTCAGAGGCAGAGAATCAGGACATGGGGTGGGGTAGGGAGCAAGGTTGATAGGATTTGGATGTCAGCCAGGACTATGGGCTGGAGAGGAGAGCTGGGAAGAGATGAGGAGGTGGGATCTGCCTTCCGGGCCACCTGGTGCTCTGGGGGAGGAGGTGCAGGATGCCCTGGGCTTCCTTTGCCAAGGAAAGGGTTTGAACCTCACAATTGCCAATACTACCCCTTCCCCACCCCGCCCCCGCCACCTCAACACCAATACCACTGCATGGTCCTGATTTATCTAAAATATCATAGAAAAAGGAGGGAGTTTTATAACCACAAATTCAAAACTTTACCTTTGTTTCCTAAGCCCCTCACCCTGGTGAAAAAAGAAGTCCCAAAATTCAGGGCTATACCTAGGTTCTTAAAAAGGAACAGTAACAATAGCTAATATATATCAAGTGCTTAAATGTGTCATCTCATTTAATTTTCATAATAATCATGCATAAATCTTATGAGGTATGTAGAATTAATTTCATTTTACAGATGAGAAACTGAGGTACAGAGATGTTAAGGAATTTGCCCCGTGACAGAGTGGAGGTCCTGAAACCAAGTTTCAAACTCAGGTCTGGTTGACTCTAGAGCCCATCATGGCACTCACTGTTTGAGGAGCTATTATGATGGCCAGGCTTCAACTTTATAAACCTGGTGCGAAACCAAACCTATGGCTTATGATCAGACTGTGATGTTTCCTTTGTGCAGGCCTTGGCTTTGGAAGTGGTCATGGGTAGTGGATAGACGACCTTGGACTAAGAATAAGAGGCTAATAGTTTTGTCTTGGGTGAGGAAGAATTAAGGAGTCAGAAAGAGTTGGGTTGGGGGAAGCAGGCAGGGGTGCAGGTGGAAGCAAGCTCTCACCTCGGCCTCCTCCAGGGCCGACTGCAACTCTAGCTTCTCCACCTCCAGCTGCTTGCGGACCTTCTCCAGCTCATGCACATTCTTTCCTCCTTCTCCCAGCTGCTCAGTCAGGTCAGAGATCTCCTCTGGGGGTTAAAGAACCAGAAATCTCAAAGCCTGTGTTCTCTCTGACCCTCAGTGGCCCTCCTTGCCTCCTCCCCTCCCTGGCCTCGAGCTCCAGCGCACCCTGAAGGTTCTTGTTTTCCCTCTTGAAGGTCTCCAGGTGCTCCAGGGACTCCTCATAGGCGTTCTTGAGCTTGAAGAGCTCTGTGCTGAGAGAGCGAGCCTCCTTCTGTGAGGACTCCAGCTCCGACTGCGACTCCTCATACTTCTGCTTCCATTCAGCCAGGATCTGCAGGGACAGAGTCACTCACTGCACAGCTCCCTGCCCCACCTCCAGGGGCTGCCCAGGCCCCTTGCCTGGCCTCAGCCTCCTCCCTGTCTCCTATGAGTTTACTCCTGGCCTCATACTGATGCTGGTACCCCTGCTCTTGCCCCTGGCTGTGGCCCCCACCAGGACCCACCTTGTCGAAGTTCCTCTGCTTCTTGTCCAGGGCTGCAGCGGCCGCGTTGGAGCGCTCCACATCCACCATCAGGTCCTCGATCTCGTTCTGCAGCCGGTGCTTGGTCTTCTCCAGGGATGAGCACTTGGCATTGACGGCCTCCACAGCCTCCTCAGCGTCCTGTAGTCGCTGGGCCAGCTTCTTCCTGCCAGGGTTGGTTGGGTGTGTGTGTGTGACTCTACCCAGGAATAGTGGGGCCTTGGGACTGACACCTGAGGAGTACCCACTCCACGCCCCCCCCCCC